AGAGAGAGAGAGAGAGCGGTGTGTGTGTGTGCGCGAGCGAGACACATCACAGTGGATTCAGCTGTCTTAACCGTGGCTTGTGTACTGCAAACACATACCAGCTTCATCACTGTGTCTGTCCCGCGACTCTGTTCCCCTTTCGGGCTCTGTCTTTACATTTATTTTGAAAGATGAAGCTCGCGATTATGGTAAGGGGCGTTACATTTCCGACGAGTGCTTGCGGTGTTCGGCCAATCACAATGCATTGGGTCAGCTGGCCAATCAGAGCAGTCTGCTCTGATTGGCCAATCACAATGCACTGGGTCAGTTGGCCAATCAGAGCAGACTGCGCTTGTCGGAAGGAGGGGGCTTTGTTGAAAACGACGTGTTTGAGAGAGGCGGGGCATAGAGGACCTACAATTATGTACAGTATTTGAAAAATAATGTGTTTTTTGAACATTAAAGCATGTCAACATATTCTGTTACACCAAATACACAAAATAATGATCTTTAAAATAGCATCATATGACCCCTTTAACACAACAGGTGGGTTGAACAATAGCCAGATTGTATGTTCAGTAGGCACAGATCTCCTTTCAAATGCACAATTCCACTTCTCCTTTACATCCATTCAGACTTGCCCTGGGCCGGTGAGCTTCAGAAACCCCATATCTCTATCTTAAACTGTTTTCCAGCTGCCTCACAGCTGCAGATATAGCATCAGGGTCCAAATTGGTATTCTCAGTATGACGTGTTTGAAATGGTAAAACATAAGTCCTTAAGTAGAAATATGGAAATGGAAGAGTCAGGTCTGGGCCTTCTGGGTGTTGGAGCTTCTGAGAAACTGTTAATAATGCAGGGTGCGTGGAGAAAGTCACAGGCTCAGAAAAAGAGCTGCATCGAAAATTAAGAGATGAATGAAAAATGGAATGAGACCGCTGAAAATGGTGGAGGAGTCGCTAGCGAAAAAACGGCACTCTAAATGGTTGTGGTGTCACGCACAGAGCAGCAGAAGTAGGGCAGAGGCGGATGAGTCTCTACGCCATCGTTACGCTATGAAACGGCTGCGCTGGAGTAGCAGAAAAATTTATCTGAAGTGGTCTGCATGGAGATGGAGACCATGTGATCAATGTCACAGTGCAGTTGCACAGGACTCCACATAACCAAATGCAATTTAGAAGATGATCAAAACTGTTAAGATGGCCCTTAAGGCCCTTAACATGTGCAAAAAGTAAGTAAATACATAAATAAATAAATTAATGCACAAATTATTGGCCAGTTTTCTTCTTAAAGGCTTACTCCACCCCAAAATAAAAATGTTGTCATTAATCACTTACCCCCATGTCGTTCCAAACCCGTAAAAGCTTCGTTCGTCTTCGGAACACAATTTAAAGGGGTCATATGACATTGCTAAAAAGAACATTATGTTGTGTATTTGGTGTAATGCAATGTGTTTATGCAGTTTAAGGTTCAAAAAACACATTATTTTCCATATAATGTACATTATTATTTATCCTCTATGCCCCGCCTTTCTGAAAAGTGTCGATTTTTACAAAGCTCATCGTTCTAAAAAAGCGAGGTGTGCTCTGATTGGCCAGCTATCCAGTGCGTTGGGATGCCTCAAGCGTGTGATGGAAATGTTACGCCCCTTAACATACTGTGATGCCGTCTCCCAACAGGACGAGACTCAGTCCAGCTGCTCTGCTCGTGCGCATCCCATCATCGGTTCTCTTTTAGCAGTTCAGTCAATGTACTGTTAGGAGTAACTGAATAACTCGGGATATTGGTTTATTTCGCGTCAGAGGGAGTGTCAGGCACGTTTATAAACCGAATAACTTAAAGGGGTCATATGATGCAATTTCAAGTTTTCCTTTCTCTTTGGAG